AACCTGTTCACCTGTCCGCAAAAAAACAATGAATTCATAGTACTTCTTAGTTATAATTTATATGTTTAATAGCTCAGAGTAATCCTTATTTTGGAAACATATGCCAGACAAAACCAACAACAGATTCGGATTTAATCTTTTTAGTTCATTTTTCTTCTACTGCACAGTTAAAATTTCTAGGCCAGAAAAAACTGCGGTTAAGTTGACATAATCCCGAGTACTTAAAGTCATTCATCATACATATAACTGTAATTAGAGGATTTAGAAAAACGTTACAAATTATTGAAAATGTTTTCCAAATTTATGTATAGTTGTTGGTAGTTCCTTGTGGTTGTTTTGATAACTCAATTTTTCGGACAAATTTAAATTTTTTTCGAAAACTTTATGTTTCGATAACAATTGATTATTTGTTTAATTGATAAAAGAATAATTAACGCATAACCATGGCGGTTACTCTTGTAAAAAGCGCGCCTTCTAGTCGAAAAACGTCCGCATATTATTCGACTTCCAGTGATAAATCTAATGGATTTACCAGACAATCAAGCGCTTCGGAACAATTAGACCAATCGAGACGAAGTCTCTCTTTCGGCCGCGTGGCCACACTTGCCGCGAGTCAGTGTACAGACTTGGCTGCTTTCAGGCGTCTGTTGGACGAAGAGCAATTAAGCAGAATGATGAAACAACCGCAGCAGCAACAGATGGGCGGGGGTCCTGCTCTGTCGATGAGGGGGGCTATGCCGCCTATGCAGCATACATTACCGATGACTCATAGGTCAGTTGAAGCTCATTTTATGATTTTTTTAAATAGAAGATCAATCGGTCATTGGAACCAACTCAAAACTTTGATTCTCAAAAACGGACAGAAAAACTTACGAAAGTCACAATTTTTTAAGACTCTGTGAAGTGAAGCGTCTTTAATTGGAAGAGGGGTGAAAAGTTTAGGCTAGCCATTCGAGATTTCCGAGTCAAAACCTTAATTATGAGAATAAAATTACGTTTTTGAGTTTTTTTTTGCAAATTTAAGACCAAACAGATCAATTTGACAACTAACACTTCAGTGTAGATTGGAAACCACAGAGCTCCAGAAACATGGTCGCTGGTCAACCAAAGATATTTGTTGCTTGGAGTGGGTTCGGCGAACGGCTTAAAAAAAGTCCTAAAGATATTTTTGGCATGTTTTAAAAGTATTTAGTCGGCGGCTGGGATCAGATTCAGTGGGTAGAGGTCTTTACTAAGCGATTCGCGTTCGATTTCTTGACTACCCAAAGCATCCATCTTTGGTACTTCTTTGAATCGACAACTTTTAGCTGATCCCCTCAAAGTTTTACTATAGTTCTAGAATAAATTTGGGCGCCAATGTACATTTCTTTTTAGGGGGAGCACGCACCGGATTGACGTTTTTGGTCAGAACTTTGAAAAAGGCTAAGACTTCGTATTTGGCCGGTTGTTTTTTTTTCAAAAACGTGCCTGCGGTCAATTCAGTCGAAAAAATGTTTTCCAGACGAGAACAACCTAGCGCCCATGTGAACAGATTCTCTCTCAATAGACCAAGTGAAACATCTCCCCCTAAACTTAATTGAAAAATTCAAACAGTAAGGCCTGCTTGTACTATGCTTAAATGTGATTGGCTAAAAAAAATACTTTTGACCAAGTGAATTATCTCCTCCCTAAATTAATTTAGGGGGAAGATTGTTCACTTGGTCTCATCTTAGATCCTAAGTACTGTGGCAAACAAAATTCTGCAGATAAAACAAATTCCTTTTAACCCCCCCCCCCCCCTCCTCTCGAGAAAGTCGAAGAATCGCCCCATATATGCGGTAAATGGGACCTTAAGCTGTGCATCACTACAATTTCCTCGAGTTCAAACTTTTCTTAAAGTTTGAACTGTTAATTTTGGAATCTGATAAGTTTTAGAGTAAATCTCATTTATTTTTCTTTGTTCAGGTCCCAATACGGGGGTGCCTCAAAAGGAAGACTGGGCGCTTACAGTGCAGTGGGTGGGGGATCATTCGCGCCCTCTCTCTCCTCATCTTCGTTTTTCACCCGACACAACCCCCACCCGAATAGAGTGAGACACATGCAGGGCTTGTTGAATGTCCCCATCTGCCATGTGTCGGATGATGGGTTCCAGCCACCACAGAGACCCCTAATGACTCCCGAAAGAAGGTAATTTGAAGAAGAATATAAATATTTGGGTCTTATAAGATTGCTGCTGGAGAAGAATGTTTGAAACCTTTTATCCACATACGAGAAAGAATTAGCATACGAGTTGCTCATCTCATCACGGAGAACCGCTGTTGTGCACCTGCTTAAGAACAACTACATGCAAACATTTTTTGGGCTGGGTAATGTTGTTATACGGTCTTTTTTGTTATACGGCTCAAAATAATCAGGTTGTTAATGGAGTTTCTGCTTTTAATGAGAAATTGCAAATTAATTTACGAGAGATTTATATTTAATCCATCAGATTTGAGCATTTGGAGCAAATTTTTCAAACTAGAAAATGAGCAGTTTTGGGCCGTATAGCAGAAAAATGTCTAAGCTTTATATTGTGTAACATAGTCCGAGAAACCCGTAACTATAAGAAGCTTAGTTACCTGTGACTACCAAATTGAAAAATGATGATTAATGTTAACAGTAATCGTATATTTGTGGTTTTCGCAACTCGTAGAGGAAAATAGTCAGTTTCTACTATTTTTCGACATTCCAGATTGAGATATTTTGTTGAGTGATACCCCTATTCTTGAAATTTGATTCCGTTTTTTTTTGCATATAGAGCTTTCCTATAATTCACTATTACAGCCGAAATCGGTCAATCTGTTGTAGACCTGAGGCTAGAGGTCAAGTTAGAACTCATTCTCACTCAGTATCCTTTTCCTGGCAGCGGATCGAATACATAATCTGAAAAACACAAAGTGAACTCATTACCTCATTTACCTTATTATTATCTGAACTCTCAAATTTTTGAATGAGCAGATCTCTCTAATTATTCCCCCTTTTAATTTTATTAGGGAAAATTTTTTCAATTGATGTGTTTCAAGTGCATTTGTTTATCCGATCATTGAAAAAAGGGAGAAATTTTTTATTCGGATGTGTTTTAAGTTTAATTAATTTTTCAAAGGATTGTCCCAAAGTCAAGAAAACAGTTTTTGAAATGTTTGGAGAGTTAGTCTATTTACGAGCCAATAACGCGATAAAAAAACGTTCCTTATTGGAGTTTTGATTTTTTTTTAGATTTTAGCGAAAAAAACTTGATTTTATTTTAAAGAAAATTGGATGTTTCGTTTTGCGCTAATTTGGCAAAAAAAGTTTTTATCGAAAACTTTATATTTAGAAACAAATCTGACAATTGCTGTTACATTTTTTTCATCAATTTTTTCGAGACAAAAGTTTGTCTATCTTGCCTGTTTCGCTAATTTTTTTACGCGATCGTAAAATTATCAAATCACATTACTTACTAATTGACACTGAAGAAAAATGAAAAAAATATATTTTTTCTGTTCTTTTTATGAATATAATCGGAACATTCTGTGCTATTTGCACAACAACCGGCAATCCTTGTTTTTATTCGAGAATAGATATTCATTTATCACATCATAAACTCATTTTTGTAAGAGTTGAGCAATTCTACAATTGAAAACTAGATTTTTTTTGAAGGTTACCTTGACTATATACTTGCTGCTATAACTAGCAAAAATCACAGTTCAATTGATCTCTGTATTAAAATAACAGAAAAATATGGATAAAAAAATTGCAAAAAAAAACTTTGTTTTTTTTTTGTTTCTGAGTTTCAAGTTGTTTGTTTGTTTTTATATCATTTTAATCTAAACAACATACCATATCTAAATTCATATTAACCGGCTATGCTTGTGTATTGCATCTCTGATTCAAATGACAGAAAAAAATTCAGCTGTTTGGGTAGGCTTCAACAGTAAGCCCTAACTAAAAAAACTTGATTTTGGATTGATTAAATCCATGTTACATCATTTTTTGGTCAATGTAAACTGAATAAAAGATGAAAATTGAAGTTCAAAATGATTCAAATCTACCTTATAAAATGAGCTTCACTTTCACTTCTTCAAAGACAAATTATATTTGTTCAGTGGACGTTATCAGTGGATAAATAGAAAAAAAAAATTTGTTAACTTAAGCAGAAAAAAAGATTAGTTAGAGAACGCTCTTTTTGTAGAGAAAAATTCATTCAAAAACTAATTTTCTTGTACCGTTTCTTGCCTTCAATGCCATTTGGTTGACCTCATGTGTGTTCTATTTGAATAACAACAAGCTTAAAAGAACGACAGATTGATTCAAAACTTTTCCTAAAATTGGAAAACAGGTTTCAACAAAGTCGTTTTTGATTACTCGCAACTATAAATTTGGCAGTAAAGCTTCAAAATCAGTCCTCAGAAAGGAGAAGACTCCTGAAACTCGAAAAGTTTCAGGGCGATTCAACATGAAGTTTTTGCTACGGTTTGTTCAAAAAATTAGAAGAACATTTTTTTCCAAAAATAGGACCAAAATTGAAATTAAATAATTGGCAATAATTTTTGTTTTACGCAGCCAATGAAACAAAGAAATTTTCGCCAAAATCTTGCCACTTTAGGAATATCAGCAAACTTTTTCAGCAATTCAGGAACTTAGAAATCACTTTAATTTGTACATTTTTTTTTATTTCTCATTTTCTTGAAAATCATCAGATTTCAGAAGCCTATCAAATAAAAGGCCTATGGATCGTAAAACGATAGATATAGAAAAAAAATAGTTCATTTTCTAAATTTTGATCAATGGCAGCACGAGTACATGGAAGGTACAAGAAGTAATTTTTCAACGAATTTAAGTATTAATTTCTTGATAACCAACAAAAACAAAATCCAAACGTTGACAAAAAATTTTCGCAACCAATAGCCATTTCGATGTACTCGTTGAAATTTTCTCAAAAAAAGTTTTGAAAGATTCCTGAAAAGATCATGACGGTTTCGACCAAAAGTAAAAATTTTTTTTAAATAGTGCTCTTCATTTCAAAAAGCTCTTAATCTAGAAAAACTTATAGAAAATCATTTGATTTTACCTATGATGAATTGCAATTCTTTCCTAAAATTGGAAAAACGCTTGTTATACAACTTTCATAAATGAAAATAATATGATATGCATTTTCCGACCGAAAGTGAAAAAAAAATCATAATAATACTCAACTTTTTGAATAGCTCTGATTATACCAAATCAGCTCATTCGACTCTACCTACGATCAGTTTCAACTGTTTCTTGAAATTCTTATTTTTTCTCTCAAAAAATGATTATCATACAATTTTCATAAATGAAATTTTTATGATAAGCGTTTTTTCGATTAAATGTCAAACCATAATATCGACGGTTAAAATGCCCTCAATATTAAATAATACGGTATTAGTTTCAAATAAAACTGACCTAAAACAGATTTTGAAAACTTTTTGACTATTTCACTTTTCTATGAAAAAAAGGTTAATCATGAAATTTTCATACATGAAAATTGAACAATAAGATTTTTTTTTAATTCAAAAAACAGAAATAAATTTTTTGATGACCCGAAAGCTTCAAAAGCTTCAAACCATTTTAAAATTTTCTTTAAAAATTGTATCATATGCATTTTTCCTTAGACGCCATACATGAAATTGTATGATAAGCATTTTTTCTTTGGACGTCAACACGGGCCTGATCACGACATATATTCCGCTAATAAATTAATAAAATTTTACGCTAATAATAAAATAAATTGCAATTGATTGGAATCTCTGAAACTAACCACCAACACTATCGTACCTTGTCGAACACTGCAAAAAAGCCCCAGACCCTATAAATTTTTTCAATCTTTAGTAGTTTGTGATTTTAACTTAATGTGACATCATATCCTAACATGTTGTCTTATAAATTTTTTCGAATACGACTTGAAACGTAACTTTCACATACAAAAGGAATCATCTGAAAAAACAGCTGATAAACAAAAACACCATACTTTATTTTAAGGTCATTAGGCGTGGAAAGAAGACTAGATCGGTATTCAAGTCAGAATAAAATTACCCGGAAACTGTGTTAAACAGTTGTTTTTATCAAATAATGATGCAGTTTTAGTCTGAACCACATATCGGAATGTCGACTTGATCGCATTGTTTTTGATAGCCACAGCTGTTGGTATGTTGAAATATTTTTTCCGTGGAAAAGTTGATAGATAATCAAAAACTAATAGTGAACTAATGAAAACTGCGTTTGTCTTGATATTTTGTTCTCTGGTTGCTTTTGCGGAAAGCACCTATCAAGTAGGTGTACCATGCAAGGACAATTTCGACTGCAAGACTCATCAAATCTGCACATCCGATGACAATGAAGGTAAAAAAATTGTAATTTTTCACACTCAAAAAATGAAAATAATCGATTAAATTATACTCAATATCGTAATTTTATCAAAACTATGGATAATTATAAGCGCAAATTTTAGATGTTTAAATGATTTCAATCCGTTGTAATAAAAAAATTTTTGTTGACATCTCTTATAACGCCTTTTTAAAATCGATTCTTTTTAAGATTTTTGGAGACTGACAATAAAAATTCATTGATATCTATTTTTTTTATTGAGTGCGGGTGGCGTCATAAAATCCTTCACGCAAATGTTACTAAGAAATTAGAGAAAGGCAAACATTTAACTAGAATAAAAACACTTGAAAAGGCGAAATATCTCAATTTAATAATAGAGAAGTATGACTGACGAAACAGAACTACACTTCTCAGATAAATACTAAACTAAGTTATATCTGCCACTAAGTGAATGTTGACCCATTTCAATCCATGTCTGAGCTTTTTTCCCCACACACACTTCACATAAGCATCAATTTAGTTAGTAAGAAAGCTTAAGGCTAGGTTATCTGGGTGAAATTGTTATTTCAACGTGAATGGTTTTTGAAAGTTTTTTTTTCGTGAGGTTCTTTAAAGTTCACGTTTTCGATTTTTTATACAAAAAAATCTTGTCTATTTTATTTTCCAACTTTAAATTCGGATCTTTAAAATTTAAATTCACCACACAACATAGCAGTCCAGGCCTGGTTCCTAGCAAAGATTCCCTAAAACCAGCCCTGGAACCCTAGACCGATCCAATTAGTCCAGGGCAAACCTGTGCGACTTTTGAAATGGTTTCCTCTGACT